TCTCTCTCTCTCTCTCTCTCTCTCTCTCTCTCTCTCTCTCTCTCTCTTTTGTTTTCCCCAAAAGTGACCCCCTGAAGAATATCCTGGAAAAATAACTCAGGTTATAGCATGAGTTAAAAACACTGACTATTTCTTCGCATGTGACTCCAGTACCCGCTGGCTGATCGGATGGTCTGATTCCATTAACCTCTGGGTGGAAGCCTTTCTGTCTGAGAGTCAGGGGATGTGAGGAGGGCAGTGGGAGAGCTAACCCTGCTTTTACCACAGTCACCGTAGGCGTGCTGTCATTGGCCAACATAATGAATCATGTTTTAGGTTCCTAAAAGGTGCTGCTGTTTATATGTGATAGGATCCAACAACTGTAGAAATTGAAAATTAGTCCAAGGTAAACATGGTAGAGCCACCACTCAACCTACCTTGTCATCTTCATTCCCATGACACTGAATGACCTTGTTGCCCTCAGCCCCGCCCACAGGGGAAGACCCTCACTCCTAGGGCAGACGGCAGAGAGTTCTTGACTGTTGAGTGTTTCTTCCCTCTCCTGGGCCCTTTTGGGGCAGTGCCTTCTACTGAACCCCAAGATACCATTTCTACTGCTGGTTGGTCCTGTTTTCGGCCCTGATGGACCATCCGGGACAGATCCCGGCCTCTGACCCCACTTAGTTCTGCCTCTGTCCCCCTGCTGAGCCTGGAAGCAGGGGCCTGTGTTCTTCCTGACCTCATTGGAATCCCTACTTTGCATCCCATCTGCTCCGTGACCAGATGCCCTGATCTCAGTTCTCCACTGTGTTCCGGAGTCATTTTCTTTCTTTACTTGAGATTGTTGCCGTATCTGTTATCCCTTCCTTTTTTTTTTTTTTTTTTGCCCTAGCCTCAGATTTCTTCCTCTCTCGCGATCACTGCCATCTTTTTATAAAAATGTGCAGATTTCTTTCTCCTTCAATGAGACGAAAACAAATAAACCCAAACAACCTGAAAACAAAGTTAATTCTGCAGTATCCAAAAAAAGGAGTCCTATTTCCTGTTGTGATTTTTAGGGACCCATTCAAGGAGGCGCTTAGATTCTTCTCCAGAGTTTTCAGCTGATTGAGAATCAAGGCACGGAGTGAGCAAATGGAGAGCAGAGGTTTGGATTTATTCTTGATAGAGCTGAGCGGGTGTGCTGGAAAACCCGGAGCTGGTGTGTTCAGTTAAGAATCTGGGGCACCTGGGTGGCTCAGCCGCTGGGCATCTGTCTTCGGCTCAGGTCATGATCCCAGGGTCCTGGGATTGAGCCTCGCATCGGGCTCCCTGCTCAGCGGAGAGCCTGCTTCTCCCTCTCACCTCCCCCTGCTTGTGTTCCCTCTCTCGCTGTCTCTCTCTCTCTGTCAAATAAATAAATAATATCTAAGAAAAGAAAAAAGAATATGCGGACTCTGACCTGTTGAATGAGGAGACATGAGCCACCCCCATGGGGTTGGCAGGCAACTCCCTTGGCATTGGAGCTCCCACTTTGGGGAAATAGAAAGCCTCGGGGCCTGCTGATTCAAGGTGTGATTTCATGACACTCACTCTCAGACGTGAACTCACCAGTTTTCATTACTTACTCATCTCAGGCTATCGCTCAGCTAACAGCTGCTCACCCATGATCATAACCAGAACTCACTTCTTCATTTTGGACATTTTTCGGGTTTTGCCAACAATTTTGTTTGACGAAAGAGAATTGTCTCAGCAGGAAAGAGGTCTGGAGGATAGGACCTTCTAACTATGGTCAGCACAATTTTTGTCTTCAGGTTTGGTGCTTGTGATTAATTTGTGCATAGGACAATTCGCCTCTACACAGAGGTGGCCCTTTCCATAATTCGATTAGTTACCTTATACAGGAAAAACTCAGTAGTCTTTGAAGATTATAGAAGAGACCCCTTTCTTGCCTCTGGCAGCTCTGGTAGTCCCGGGTACTCCTTGGCTTGTGGCAAATCACTGTAGTCTTTGCCTCGTTCACATGGGCTCCTCCCTGTGTATCTCTGTGTCCTCGCTTGGCCATCTTCACGTAAGAACACTGGTCATCCTGGATTAGGGGCCCGCCATACTCCAGTATGACCTCCTCTTAACTTAATTCAATCTGCCATGACCCCATTTCACATCAGGTCTCATTTGCAGGTACTGGAGGTTAGGACTTCAACATATTTTGGGGGGATGGCACGATCCAGTTCAACCTATAATGGTGGGCTAATCAGGAAATGCCCAAACGTTGCCACCTTACAGCGCAGCACCTAACTTCTGACAACAACCCCGCTCTCCTTTCTGTGCTGTGTATGCGTCCATTCTCTGCCCACTCCTCAGCCTTCTTGTCTCAGCGCTAGCGTCTCACCCTTAGCAGACGGTGCTGTCTCCTCTTTGCCGAAGGCACAGCTGGGTTTCCCCTGTTTCTTCCTTGCGTTCTCCAGACCACTGCTGTGGACAGGCTGTTCACGTAAGCTGCTGCCCTGTCTACTGAGCCTCTCCTCTCCACCCCGTGATCTCTGGGGAAAGGGGGCCCCTCTCCTAGGCATCAGGCTGAAGTGCATTGCATCTTGCTCATTCCGTGGCTGAACTCTTCCCTCAAAGGACTATAGTAAAGGCTTGACAGAAATAAGCACACAGACACTCCAGTCTAAGGGAAGCACACAGACACACAAAAATGTTCTTCAGGACATGTGGACCGAGCACAGCAAGCCGGGGCCCTTTGGCCACCCCAGCCTCTCGGGAACCTCCATGCTCCGGGGGTAATCTTCAGGCACATGGTGGCCTTAGCCTGTCCAGGCTCACGTCCCTCCAGGACGCAGGGAGCCCTGGGTAAGAACCTATAGAGCCTTGAATGTCTCCAGGGATGCCGCATAAACACGTGCTCTAGTTCCAGCAACCTGCCTGAAATCCACAGAGTCCCCATTCCAGCTACAGAAGACGCCGAGGCCCTCCCCACGGCCCCTTCTCAGCCCTGTGCCCTCACTGCTCTTCCCCCCCCTTGCTTCCTCTGCTTTGGCCTCTTAAATGTTGCACAGGGCTGCTGGCTCTTTGCTGTCTCCCAGGGATCAGCAAAAGCCAGAGAGTCGACAACTTAAGCTTTGCAGTCCAAGCTGTCCCCATTGCAGCTTTTTACTTCCCCCCTCCTAGCGGCCATCGCCGGTGCCCGCCTGATCACTCACAGTGGCTATGTGCTCATAAAACTTTATTTATAGCTAGCAGGCAGGATTGGCCAGCAGACTGTTGTTTGCTGGCCCCTTTCTATCTGAAAAGCATCCCCCCCCCCCCCAGATCTACCTGGCCAACTGGTTTAGCTCCTTCCGGTTTTTGCTCAGATGG